CAGCCTCAGGCTGTCCCAATGACTTCCTACCCCACAGGGCTCACTCGGCCTCACACTCCCAGCTGCTCCCTGGCCCAGGCCTTGGAGGCTGGACCTCACTGACCTCACAATTGGACCCTGGGCCCAAATCGCCCCAAGTTCAAGTCCTGGCATTGCCAGTTATTAGCTGTTGGGACCCTGAATAGACCTCTGGGTCTTGGCTTCCTCATCTGTTAACAGGGTCTGCTTGGCAGGGGTCCTGGGAAGATTCATAGAAATAACAAGCAGATGGCTTCAGCATGGTTTGGTTCCTGATGGGCACCCCGGGGAGTGTGGGCCTTTGATCAGCCTCAAGGGGTCCAGCTGGAAGGCCGGCTGGCAGCATTTCCCAGAGGCTGTGTGCAGGGTTCCCGGTAGCCGTTGGTGGGTGACTAAGGCCCTTCCTGCCCGGGAGGATCCACCCCGACACCAGGGAAGAATGGCCGGCAGGCACCCGCGTGGCACTGGAGACCACTTCCTATTTTTATCCTACCCTGGCTGTGAACATGACTCCTGCCCGAACAGGCCCCTCTGCATCCTCCACCAGGGCCTGAGCCTGGGGCTGGGAGATGGTGGCCCGCTGCTGACCAGAATGAGAGCTGGAGTCCAACCAGACTCAGGCCAGGGATGTGGGCTTCCTGAGAGAAGGCACCCCTCACCCTCGGCACCCCTGAGGACTGTATCCTACCCCAGGCCCTCTAGTAGGCTGCTGGCAATGAAGGCTTGTGGGCACTGACTGGTGCAGACAGTGGTAACCCTCGGGGGACAGTGGTGTCAGGGGGCAGTGACTGCCCAGGAGGGCTGAGGCTGCCCCAGGGAACACGCAGGAGCCGGAGCCCAGTGCTGGCTCCTTTTGCAACCCTGTCGCTGCCATTCTGGGCCCCGGCCAGGGAAGGGTGGCAGCCTTGACACTTCTGGCAAATCCCACTGCCCACCACGCCTGACTTCTGGGAGGAGCCCCACCAGGACTGGCAAATCCCATTCCTCCCAGGAGCCCCCCTCACACGGGCCCCACTCACCCTCAGCACCCCACCCCCTCCACTCCTCCACAAACGGCCCAGGAGCGCCTTGGGCACTTTACGGCAGAAGAATCCGGCTCCAGTGGTGGAATGTCAGGCCGACGCAGTGGGTCAGAGGTGTCTGAGGCCCTGCCTGCTCCTCACGAAGGGACCTCTGCTCCAACCAGCTCAGAATCACGGAACCGAGGCTGGCCTGCCCCGGGATCTGGGGAAGGAAGGCCTTGTGCTCTGTAGCGGATGGTGGGTCTTGGCCCAGGCCATGAGTGACCCATGTGGGCCAAGCCCCTTGTTCTGGGCACAAGATGTAGGGAAGCCTCCATCAGAACACCTGTGTTCCAAGCCAGGAGGGCAGCAGGGTGGGGGCCCAGCAGGCCAGGCTGTCTCAGCTCTGGAGCGGTGGGTGGAGAATCAAAGACCAGGGCTTCTTGCGCCCACACATACCCCAGGAGGGTGGAAGGAGGCATTCGGCCTGGAAGCGGTCCCAAGGAGGTGACAGATCCCACCCTAAGGATGCAGGGCGTGCAGGGACATCCCTCCCACCTCAGGCCTCAGCATCCAACCCCTCCACCCTAGAGCGCACCCAAAGCCCCTCACAAGTCCCTGCCCCGCAGGACGTGCCCCTGGAAGCCCTGGCTTCCCCTCTGAATTTCTCCCATCAGGCATTCGGCCGAGGACACCCAGCTCTCCCCTGAGCTCTGGCTTCTGCCAAGTGGAGGCTGAGGAACCTCTGGGGTGGGGGGAAGGGCTGTGTGGCCCCAGGGCTCCTGCAGGGTGACTTGTCTGGCCCTGTGAGTCTGTGCACATGGTGGGGCTGGACGTGTGGCAAATGGGGGCAGGGTCAAAGCATGGTCTGTGTGTGTCTATGGGCTGTATAACTGTGTGGGGTGTGGGGTCTAGGCTATATCAGGTATGAGAGGGTCTGTGTGTGGTGTGTGGGGGCCTGTGTGTGGTGTGTGGGAGGTCTATGTGTGTGTCGTGGGGTCTGGGTGTGTTGTGGGGGGTCTGTGTGTTTTATGTGGGGGTCTGTGTGTGGTGTGGGGGTCTGTGTATTTTGTGTTGGGGTCTGTGTGTAGGGGGTGGTGTGTGTGTAGTGGGGAGTCTGTGTGTGGTGTGTGCATGTGTCAGAGTGAGGCTGACCACTTGGCTGTAGACACTCCACAGAGTGCAGGAGGAGCCCCAGATGGCTAGAATTAGGGAGAACCTGGGTTCTCTGGTGCGGCCACCTCCTGGGGGTGCAGTGCAGGATGGGCACGCCTCAGGGACCAGGATTCTGGCACTTTCTGAACCCACCCGTCTCCCTCCCTCCAGATGTTACCCAAAGCCCTAGGGCCCTGGCAAGCCTAGGGGAGTTTCCCCTCTCTGGCCCAGACCCACACAGCCCATGTGCCAACCAGAGACTGGTGGGGTTCTCTCTGCTCCCACAGCAGGACTTCCTACTTGTGGCCTGGGATTCCCAGCCTGGGGTTCAAGTCCAGCTCCATCCCCTGGGTTGGGTAACCAGACGCCAGGCTTAGCCCAAGGCTGGCAGAGACAGGTCACCCAGCACATGTCACTAGTGCCTCTGTTCCCCCCGCTACTTCCTCCAGTCCAGGACCCCATGGCTGGGTTGAGGCAGGCACTTCCCACCCGACTGGTCCAGGCCCCCAGCCAAGAGGAAACTGGGGGGCAGAGTGGCCAATGCACGTGTGGAAACTGGACCTCAGATGCTATAGTGGGGCCTCCTGGACACCTGCCCCAGCCCTGCCTGCTGACCTCAGGGCTTGCTGCCCACACACTGCCCAGCCTGGGCCTGCACACCCCGTCTTCAGCCCCAGGCCTGGCCTGGCCCAGCCCTCCTGGCACCTGAGAATGCCCCAGGGTGGCAACCCTGGAGCCAGACCCACCTGAGCCCACTTCCTGGCTGCTCCTCCTACCTGCCTCTCTGAGCCTGTTTCCTGGTCCCCACCCACCTTAAACTGCCCTCAGCTGCATCTCCCATCTTCGGGGGCAGCCCCTAGTCATCCTCTGTTCCTCTCCCCACTTTCTTTCCTCCTCACTCTCCCCTTCTCTCCTTCTTCTCCTGGGGGCAGTCTCATTGCTAGACTTTCTGAGCCATTGCCCCTCCCACTATAGCAGACCCAGACAGACCCATGTCAGAGGGCTGCTGGGCCCCGTGGCCCTCAGGACACACATATGGGGGAGGGGTTTACCTCTTAGAATCAGGAGCCAGTATGGAGACACTCCAGGTGCAAAGAAAGGTAAGGAGGTAAGGGTCAAATGGTGAGTGACTGGCAGGTTCTGTGGTCCCAGCCAGACCCTCTGGGGGCAGTCTTGGGATAGTGGTGTCCACCTGGGAGCCCAGGACTTCCCAACTTGCATTCCAGGGTGGCTCAGAGGATAGGACTCCCAGGGTCCAGAGGAGATTTTGTTGGGACAATGGGGCAAATAGCCCCCAGGCTGGAGCAGGCCAAGCGGGTAGGACAGGGTGGCCAGAGTTGTGACTCTTGAGCCAAAGGGGACAGGACCCAGGTAGCACGATAGGGGCCTTTGACAGCCTCTTCCTCGCTCTCAGCTCTGGGCTGGGGGGACAGCTGCAGGGAGGTGACCTGCTGGGTGGGGAAGTCAGGTCCCTCCATCCCCTGGAGGTCTGCAAGCAGTGCCCTGGCCATGGAGCCAACGTGGGCTGCAAGCCATCCCTGGCTGCACCCCTCCTGTCCCGGGGCCCTTCTCAGCCAGGACCGTGCTGAAGGGAGGGGTTCTGAGCCCCAGCTGCAGGGCCTGGTGCATGCAGTTTGCAGGGGGCAGGGAGGCGGGCGTCTTAGAAGGCTTCAGACAGGAGATTGGAAGCCCAGGGCCCTTCCCTGACGGCTGGACCTCCAAGGTCCCTGGGCCCCAGAAGAGCCACAGATCCTTCATTCACAGCCCATGGCTGGTCAGCGTATGCAGCTCCAGGGCCCAGCCCCTTGCCCTGCCCGGCAGGGCCCCCTCACAGAGCCAGCCCCGCCCTGCCCCAGGCCCGCAGCTGACTGCAACCCTGAGTGTGGACTGAAGGGAAGAGGCTGGGCCATGGAGACTGATGGCCTCACACTCCCTCCCCTCACAGCCTGGGCTGGAGCCAGGGGTCGCCCCTCATCCACCCCAGAGACCAGGGCAAGGATTGGTGGAAAGGCCGAGAGGTTCAGGGGTCACAGTGCATGGCTGGGTCGGAGGTCAAAGATTTGCTGACAGCAGCCTTGGAGGTATTGATCGGGTGGGGGAGGTGACAGAACCCTGTCCCCTGCCAAGGGCTATGGGCATGGATGGATTGGTCAGCAAACTGGACTCAGCAGAGCAGACTCTTTGGGATGAGGGGCCGGGGGCTACAGAGCCCCCATCATGGCACCAGGTCCCTCGACAGGCAGGGGACCAATTGTCATACCACAAGTGACTTCAGTTATCGTCCTTGGGCTGATGGTCCAGCATGCCTGGGCCTGTGTGGCCAGGGGACAAGAGGGACCTGGTGGTGGCGAGCTTCAGCCCCCGAAGACTTCACAGGTCTGGGATGACAGGCTTGGCAGGGCTCAGAACTGGAGGGGTCAATAAAGCCAACGTCCTCTCCTAGAGAATGGCAGGCTGAGGGCCGCTGGCTTCCTGGGGGAGGGGGCACAGCTTCAGTGAACCGCAAAGGCCTCCCCCAGGCTCACCTGCTCACTCCAGAGTCAGGCAGCCCCCTACCTAGGGTCCTAGCCCCAGCTGGCTTCTACAGGACACAGGCACAGTTCCAGCTCCCTCCCACCCCAGGAAGATGTAGCGCGTCCACCCCACTCGCATCCCCAGCCTCTGACCAGAGCCCTTCCAGAGGCGGCCGGACACTCCAGCTGCCCCTAAATCCTCCCGCACATACACATACACCCACCAGTCCAGGCTGGGACGAGGCTGGCCTGGAGGGAGGAGCCGCCATGACCAAGAGGATGGAGAAGGGACACCTTCCCCAATCGAACTCACCCCAAACAGGTTGGACCCAAGCGTATTTCTCCATCCATCCTTGAGGCTGCCTGGGGAGGGAGAGGAAAGAGCATGTGTGCCTGTGTATTCATATGTGTGTACATCCATGTGCTTGTTGGTATGTGTGTGCATGTTATTTGTATGTTTATGTGCGCTGGGCACACGTGTGAACATGTGATTGTGGGCATGTGTGAACTGTGTGATTACGCGCACATATGGGAGCATTGTGTGCGTGCGTGTGCCCCTGTGCGTGTACTCACATGTGTTTGGCTCAGGCTTGAGGCTGAGCTGGCCCCTTTCCAGGCGCTGACTGCAGAGACACTCCAGCTGTCCCTTGGAATGGCTTGATCCGGGCTTAGCCAGAAACTTTTACCAGTCCCTATGGCCCTGGCCCTGGCCCTGGCCCTGGCAGCTGTCCTGGAGCTGAGGGCTTCTGATCAGCCCCGGCCAAACTGGCAGCATGGCCAGAGGGCAGTTCTGTCCACTGGGAAGTCATGTGGTGGCCCCTGGCTCAAAGCATACCTAGGTTCGAGGTCACTAGCACTGAGGCAGAGGCACGTGGCCCACTGGTGTCTGGAGCACTCCTTAATGTCACCAGGGCCTGGTGGGGTGTGTGGCGTGGGGTGGGTGGGGAAGTGTCTCCTCAAAAGCAGTGACCCCTGCTGGGAACATCAGGTACTGCAGACTGGCTCTACAAGCCATTGTTAGGGAAAGGGGTCCCCTTCACTGCCATGGGATTGCTCCCTGAAGTGAGCAGTGGGTTGAGATGTATGGTTTTCAAACTCTGCTCCAAAGAACCCTGGGGTTCCTTCAGGTCTATCCAAGGGCTCCCCAAAGTTGATGTTCCCAGCTCCCCCACCTTCTTCCTCAAAAGAGCATTGCTTTTAAGTATTGGGCTTTTGAAGACGTTTCTCCAAAAATATTTTACATCTCCAGGCTAGTTTTGACCTTTTAGCTCAAGGAGTCTACTTATGAGTGTGTCTCAGTCAGATCTGCTTTTAGGACAATTCATTGGGCTTTAACCCCATCATCTCCTGCCAGGAGAACAATATTACTTTAGGTTGGGTTCTGATATAAATACCTCTTGGAAATCAGAAGAGGCAATGAGGAGAGAGCTAGGCAGCCTTAGGGGACCCCTGGGGCCCAGCCTTCTGGTGATGGCTGACCTCACGCCCTCCAGTAAAAGGGCATGTATGTAGGGGGCCCCCAGGGGAGGTGCTGCCTCACCACTCCAGCCTGGACACAAGGAAACCCTGGTAACAGGGTGTCTCCACCTAACAGCCCACCGGCTCCTCCCCCTGGGGGGGCGGGCAGAACCATCACAGCTGGTCTCTCCCTGACGTGTGGCTTCCTGCGTCTTCCTGCACGACCTCGGTGCCTGCACATAACACACGGGCACACCGCAAAGCCTGCATCCCACACCTTGCTGTGTTTGCCTGAAGCCATAAAATGTGATTTGCTGGACGTAAAACACAGTTCACTAGGGCATAAGATGGGCCAGCAGGGCCATGGGTGGTGACTCTGCCACCCTGGCCCCAGCCTGGCCCACCACTTCCAGAATAGATTGGCCCTAGGAAGTTCCCTGGAGGGGGCCATCTCCAGGGGATGTGGCAGGATCCACAACAGACCAAGCAGAGCACAACAAAGTCTGGGAACCTCTGGGATAGGCACACCTTGTTTAGTCCTGTGGTTCTGCTCCAGAGGGATGGAGGCTAAAGCCCAAGGATGGTCCTGTGGTGGCCAGATGAGGTCAGGAGGGATGGGGACAGCCTTTGCCCACTCATTCCCATTCATTCATTCATTCATTCGACAAGTGTTCATTGCTATGTGCTGGCACTGGGTGAGGTGGGGTGAGTGCTTCAGTAAACAAAACAGACCACTCAGCTCTGGTCTAGTGTGGGCAGTAGGGGAGACAGCAATAAAACTAAATAAGTAAAATATACAGAATTTCAAAAGGTGGTCAAGGAGAAAAGCAGCACAAAGTAGAGATAAAGTATGGAGGTAGGAGGCGCGATTTGCAATGAAATAGTCAGAGACTGGCTTCCTGAGAAGGTGACATTTGAGCAGCCCTGGGGGAGGTGAGGAAAGGGGCTCTAAGGATGTCTGGGAAGAGCAATCCAGGCAGAGGGAACAACAATTCCAGAGGCCCCAAGGCAGAAGTGTGCCGCTTAAGGAGCAGTGTGGCTGGAGCCAAGAGGGTGACAAGGAGAACCGTGGATGAGGGGAGCACAGAGGACGCATAGAAGGTCATTGCCGTCCGCAGGTCTCTGGGTTTACTCTGAAGGGTGCAGAGGCACTATAGGGTGCTGAGCAGTGGAGAGACTCCAGACAGGAACTCTGCTGCCATCCTCTCTGCCCTATCCACTCTGACTTTGCTCCCAGCCAAGAAGACCCTATCCAGGAGCCTATCCAGGTGCTGAGACAGGCCAGCCCTGCCCTGCCGTGGGGAGACCTCGACCAGCTGGGAAGGGCCCTCTGGGGTTTTATCTGCTTCTCAGCGCACAAAGATATGAGACCTGGGTCCTGCTGGATGCACCACAAGCTGTGACATCCACTCCTCATCAGCCACTGCCCGCCCCAGATGGGACCAGCCCTTCAGCCACATCCCAGCAGGAAGTCTCCACTGCTCTACAGAGGAGATGGCCCTGAGGACCTCTCCACATCAAGTGTCTTTGGGGAGAAGAGGGCAACATGGCAAAAGGCCCTTTGTAGTCTCCTTTTTCTCCCACCCTCCAACCTCCATCACTGAACCCCATCCACACAGGCCTCCGTGTTTCACTAATAACAGTTTCAAGCTTGTTCCAGCCTCAGGGCCTTTGCACATACTGTTCCAGCTGCCCTGAATGTTCTGCCCTCCGGTGTTCACGTGACTGATTCTCCTGATTACCAACTCACAAAAGCCCTCCCTGGGGACCTTCCAAAGCAGCCATCCCCTTGGCCCTGCTAGTGCCTCCATGATTGATTTCCTGTGTGAGAGTGTCCCCATCACAAACTCTCTGGTTCATTCACTGGCAACTTTAGCATTCCACAGCAGGCAATCTCTCTGGGGTGGAGTCCAGTTGTCTTGTTTGTGGCTGGATCCCCATTGCCTAGCACACAGTAGGTCCTTGCTGAGCATTGCACTAATGAGTTCATGGCAAGAAAGGGGGGACTAGGCCTAAGGAGGCAGGGGAAAGGCTGAAGAAGGCCCAAAGGGGCCAGAGTGGGGCTGTGGGAATCTAACTGCTGAGCTGGACCTGCATGGGGACGTGGTGGTGAGGATGGGGTGGGGGTGGGGGGGACAGGTATAAGTGGGACTCTGCCCTTCTCCGTCACCTGGCAGGCAGGCGGACGCATAAAGTACTCGCCTGGAGGTGCCAGCAGGAAGGGCTCCCAGCCTCAACCCCGCAGCAAGGCATCTGGGCCAGGGAGGAGCCAGGTGGCCAGGAGCTGGTGCTGCTTCCCCACCATTCACAAGCTCTCTCCTCAGCCTTGGATCTGTGTGGGCAGGAGGTGGGGACAGGGTAACCTCCATTGAGATTATCTTCTCCTGGACGGGGCAATGCCACCCCACAGGCCAGACATGGCTAGTGGATGGTCAGATGCCAGGGAGCTCCTCCTGCCCGTGGGAGGGGGCAAACCTGGGGGGACAAAAGGCTCTGGTCCCTCACCTGGGGCCCTTCTTCTGTCCTGTGGGCTCCTGGTGACACCTAGTGGCCAGCAGTCCTGATGTGCTGCTCCCCCTATTCCCTGAACTCTGCTGGGGGATGTCCCAGTTAGCAAGGGCACCCTGTCCTCCATCTCACCCACTCACATTCTCATGCTTCCCGTCTCCCACACTAGCTCTCGGGGCCACACCCACACGCTCACTCTCACACCCCCTCTCAAGGCTCAGCCCTCCCACACACACTCGCAGAGCCACATGGGGCCCATGTGGTTTCCCTGGGCCATGTAGGCAAAGGGTCTTCTCTGGTTCCCCACCCACACCCACCCACACCCACCTCTGGCTGCCCATGACCAGATCGTGCCGTCTGGTGATGGAAGCCCAGAGGGAAGGCTGTAATGACACTGCGGGCTCCCTGCCCACCCCTTCCCGCTGGGCTCCCCAGATGCTGCTGATAAAAACAAACCAGGGCAGGGGCACAAGACCAAGGCCGAGAACAAGCAAGAATCCAGGAGGTCGCCATCCTGACCAGAAGCCCAGGAAGAACCAGCCCGTGGGCAAGGCCTGCATGGAGGAAGGTGGCGACCGTTGAGGACATTGGGCGGGGTAAAGGGCCCTGGGAGCCAGGCCAGGCCCAGGAGTGGGCACGTCCACATTGGCCAAGAGCAACCTTGGCTGAGCCAGGGCTGGGCTGCCTGCGTCACTGAGAACAGCCTGAGGAACTAGGGGAAAGGCCTGGTGTGCGGGGTGCCCGGACCCTGCCAACTGAGGCATGGGACCTGTGTGGTCAGCAGCACAGGGCAGGGCCTGGGGCTGGGACCCCCGACCCTGTGGGCCCAGAGGGACCAATTTCAGGTATTCCACCAGCCTTCTCCAGTCACCACCAGGAGAGGAGGGCAAAGGTCTCCTTCCCATTTCCCAGTTGGGAGCACTGAGGCCTGGCACGAACTGACAGGGACAGGAGTTGCTGTGCCTCACTTTCTAGGCTGCAGGGCTTCAGGGCCTCCTGGTACTCAGGCGTCCCTCACCTCTGTGCACTCAGCTCTGCCAGCTTGGAGATGGCCTCACCCACCAGCACACCCCCTCTCCAAACCCCCCTCCCCCTGGCCTCCAGCCCCGACATGGCACAGAGGAGGTACCCCAGAAGCCAGGGCACCCACAGGACAGGATGGTGTCTCTGCCAAGGGCGGAGGGGTGGCCAGGTAGAGGCAGCTGCAGCCTTTCCCTGCCCTGCCCTGCCCACAGCCCTCGCCTGTTGCCTGACACGAACCTTGGTCGGGGACAGGCAGGCTTCGGGGGAGATGGAGAGTACGGTGAAGGCCTGCCCAGATGCCCCTGGCTGCTCCCACGCCCAGTGCTCATGCCCCAGGGGCACCTTAGGAGCTGGGAGCTCAGGCTCCTCAAGGCGTAGATGCCAGGAGCTGGACTGGAGGCTCGCCCCCACTGCCTCCCCAGTGCTCTTCCTCAGCCCCGCTCCACTGTGGACTGGAGCAGGCCTTCTCCAGTAGACATTTTTGAATGGAGACATTCCGATGTCCACTGAAGCCTCCCCCCGCCCCCACTTCCCACAATCCCATGGGAGAAGGAGGCGGAAGCTCTGGGCAGGGAGGCGCGTCTCCAGTTCCCTCCCAAGTCGCTCCTTTCCAGGGCTGTCACCCACTGGCGTCTCAGGCCTGCCCCTCAGCATGCACCTCCTCCAGTCTGTGAGGGCCACTGGAGGCCTCCGTGGATGAAAGCAGAATTGAACTGTGTCACAGTTTCAG